CTGCATTACACGCGGCGGTGCTGCCTTTGTATTGAAATTAACTGTAGCTTATACAGAGTGTTTCAAAATATTGTTTTAAATCTAATATTGGGGTCTGAGAACATAGGCGGAATTTGCGAGAAGCTAGTTCGCCTTCCTTCGGGAACTTCTGTCAGTCATCTCTTCCATCTCTGCACAGAGAGAACGACGCACTGGCCCATGCCGCAAGGGAGAAAGCCGATCTGTTTGGTTCTCTCTTTGCGTCCAACTCGACCCTCGATGACGGGGGAACAACTCCGACCATCCCGCGGTGTGAGTGCCCCATGCCAGATGTGCGGTTTACAGAGCGCTCGGTTCCCAAAGCACTCCTCTCCCTGCACGTCAGCTAGTCGAGTTGGCCTGATGAAGTCCCTCCCATTGTGCTGAAGACGGGTGCTCCGGAGTTGGCACCGGTTTTAACGCGTCTTTTCCGGTACTCCTATTACCAAGGCGTAGTCCCGAATTCTTGAAGGACAACTTTGTTCCACCCGATCTCTAAAAAAGGTGACCGCTCATACCCGTCCAACTACAGGCCTATCGCCATCACATCCTTGTTTTCAAAAATAATGAATTCTATTGTAAACTGCCAGCTCATGAGTACCTTGAGGATCACGCCAATATGGTTTTCGTCGTGGTCGATCTTCTAGTCTACCTTACTCATAGATGGGCGGAGGCAATAGTCATTGGCCCTTGGTTTGGACGTACCACAGGCCTTTGATCGGATCTGGCACAAAGTGATTCTTTCGAAGTTCCCTTCCTATGGGCTTCCCGAGAAATTCTGCGATTGGATCACTAGTTTTGTTGTGTCCCAAGTGCAAGCTCCTTCCACCTGACCGCATCAGCTCAGAGCGACTCGGATCGTCGACGACCGAGTTCTTTCTGATCGTCTCGATTCACTGGTGCTGCGTAGGGATGTTGGGTTTGCGTTTGCCCTTTTCGTTTTCTATCGTATCTACCATGGGGAGTGTTCTTAAGAATTTACACTCTAGACCTCCCATGGCCCCACCAACCTCACGGTTATACGGGCCGAATCTCAAGAGATGCACGCGGTACTTACTCTGGGCTCTTTCCCGCGTGCACTTTCTTGACTCTCTACAAGTTATTTAATCTGTTCCTGTCCCTTGTATTCCACTCTCCCCTTCTGGGCTGGACGAACACACCACGCCTTCGGTTCCGTGCAGAACGCTTCTTTGCCTCTCCATGGCTGTTCTTCTCGCATGCCATCCATGCGCAAACTCCCGCAACCGTCCACAAGGTCCGGGTAGTAAACCGGACCCACACTTCTGCGTACTTATTCATCATCTTACATCTCAGGTCGTCATACAACGCACACTCCCATAGCACGTGATGCCTATCCTCATAGGCAGCACCGCAATCACACATACCCGATTCAACCAGTTTCATATCATACAGTCTCTTCCGAAAACATCCATGCCCACTGAGCATCTGCGAGACTTGATAGTCCAGCACAATTCAACTTGCGTCGAATCGCGCCGCCATGTCCGGGAAGAAACAGAAAAATTCCCTTCCATTCGTCTCTTTTTCCTATCTCTCTTGCCATACGTTCATAACATCCGCCCGAATCTCGCGCTTAGGCCTGCTCAACTCCCCATTTTCTGCTTCCGCACGCGCGAGATCAATCCTACCAGCACGTGTCACCTCTAGGTCAGCCGGAAGGACGCCGGCTAGTAAGTTCTAGTGGTTAGGACCCTACGTTTTGTTCTTAAGAATTGTTCGAATTAGTTCCAGCAGCCCAATTTCACGAACGCACATCGTGCCGAAATTCACGGTACCATCCTCACCATCTGGATGCTTGGCCGTCAACCACTGTGCGTTTTACTAGGAGTTTTCTTCCTCGTACAACCTGTGGTAGTCACTTGCCATCAGGTGAGTCGCATGCTCGTTTGCCCCCTCTTCTATAATAATATAATCTATAATATATACCACTAATTAAAATACACTTCGTCATTTTTCATATTCACATCATTAATATTGTCGAGATTTCAATGCTCCTCTGCTACTTTAGAGTTTTTTTGGCTTCTTATCCACGCATCCTCTTACCTTTTGCTGCCAATTTGTAATCTACCCACTGCTGTGTCCGGTGTGAAAGGTGAAGGTAACCAGTATAATTACAAGGTGTGTCTATCATCTTAATCTTAATGATATGGACGTATCTTTAGCCTTTTTTTAAGTTTTTTTATATAAGTCCTTTGGACTTCAGCAGCTACATTAAAGATATCTAAATCAAAATTCTGGTGGTAGTGAAAGAGAGCTCATTTCGTGGGTGGCGTAAGAGAGTTAAGGGATATATGGATGATAAATAGAGATATAACCATCTCCTATCCTTTTTATAGGATCATTCCCAAGCATACGCTCTCTTATCTGAATTTTGGATAAAAGAACCACGTTCTGGTTTTAGAATAATCGAAGACCCTATTTGCTGGCGATGAGGCATTCCTTCTTGGTACTCAGTAGTGGCAAGGCATTTTAATTCTTAATCGAAGATAGACGTAGTTGCCTATGGGCCATTGCATCCTGATACCATCAATTGGACTGTATGCTTGTTTGTCTTTAATTTCATGAAAAAATATCTAAGCTATATAACCTTAACTTATCTTGTTCGTGTCGTCGGAAACGATTACTTAATCTCAATCGATGATAGATGAAAGTGTTTATGAATAACAGTTACCATCAGTTAGACCGAATGTTTTATATTACCACAAATGTGTGCGTTAGCACACATGGTAGCATATTGTTACTCGTCGCAAGCTATGCGTAATTTATGTAACATGTTTTTGATAAGATTTTATCATAATGCAGTGGTAGAGTCAGAAGTCATAACCAACACAAGCTCAAAAACTACTATTTGTACTTTTGTGAAAATACTAGCTCCAGCTGCGGCTCAAACACGGGACCTGAATACTTGTGAAATCCTTTAACCACTCGAGCACGCGTATCTTACATAATATAAAAATATTATTCAGTAGTAAGTTTAAAACTTTTTAAATTCTAATTTTAATACGGACTAAATAAAATGCCATATTTTACTGAAATATAGCTTTAATCACTTTTAATAATATGTTTGTATGTACACATAGCGCTTAAAACTATATAAAAAAAGCTGGATGTCTACAGTAAAATTGTAAAAATACCGAACATTGTACATTCCGCGACAAAGTAAACGTGAAATAAAAGGTACAGATTAAGCAAACTATCAGATACGTCATTTGACCTGCAAGTAAATATTATAATAATAAGTTTTGATTACTGTACCATATTTGTTTCACATATTGAAAACTTCATGTTAAAAATAAAATACACATTTAAAAATAATGCACAAAATGATGTGGAAACAAATATTAAAACAAAGCCAATAATATCTAGTTTAAAAACCAAACACGCTGTATAAACCTAGATGTTGGTACATTTATGTCATTTCATCGAGACCCTCACTCAAAAAACATTGTAATTTGTGCAAGGAGTATAAATATGGAGTGCTATTAAAAATAAATAGGCTGAAATAAAATACAAAAATTAGCACCAGTACAAGTCTTAGCACGAATATAAAATCATTTTTTTAAAAACGACTTGCACTTCGTAATAAAATTTAGATTATGTTAAAAAATTATTCAATCAATGTACAATATATATTGATGTCGAGCCAATTATGGATTTATATATCGCGGAACTGTTTTTAATTGGCGAATAAAAATCTAAGGGAAAAAATGTAATGTAAGTGATTTAGACATTTCCTTATATAAAAACCATTAAAATATTTTAATATCGACTTGTACATGTCGTAAAATAATTGTCATTTTAGGAACTATATTCACTATTGATGAAACTTGACACGAAATCGAGCGTCCAGTTATAGACGAAAGTTGAAAGGCCTACAGAACCATCTAAATAATTTCTACTCGTAATAAAAACCAATCGATATTACCTCAGTTAAAACTGCGATTCACTCGATCTGAGCCAAACTGACAGGAATGCTACCTAAAATAATGTTAACTTAGAAAAAAGAAAGTTAAATATTTTAGTAAAAAAACAATGATCGAAATCACACATAACGCAGACTTTAAAAATGGAGGAGTTAATTTATGTACGTGCATTAGAAGTTATACTTCTGTAGTGAGATTTTAAATATGGTAAATGAAATTTTAACCATAGTGGCGAGCGACTCGATTATATTTAACTCTTCGATGGTTGTCCTCATACTGCCAAATTAACGTAATATTTTCAAAATATTATCAACACATCATTGAAGTATAACTTTAAAATTCTAAATAAAATCTTAAAAAGTCTTAAAATTTTTAAAATAAATTTCATTATTGTAAATTTGTATTTAAAACATTGCTGTTGTGATCAATTTTGTGTAACTTGTGTGATTTCATTTTAGTCATTAGAAGAACGAATCCAGTTCGCTTTATGTGAACTATTGACATCATCAATAGTGCAAAAGCTAATAACAATCTCGTTTCAGTCTTCCAAATCACTATATAGTGTTAGAAACAATCTAGCATAGCTATAAAATATAATGAAAAACCTGGAAATATCGCTAAGTTTGTTTTAAGGAATGTCATGAATGAAAATCAAATTTAGAATAGTCAGTCTTGAAAATGACGCAAACATATCGATGCAACTGGCAAGTTATAAACAGCTACCATCACACTGTCTTAAAACAACAGTACCATAAATAATAAATACTTAAAATATGTAACATAAGGTGTACAAGGTCATATGTTTACACTTCGTTCAAAATGGCATGTTAATCTAACTACGTTAAACTTACGTTAAAACTTACAAATGGTCCTTTATATTCTTGTACGCAATAGTAAAAAATCTAGCACGAGATTTATGTACACGAGCACCGCAAAACTGATCATCCGATTGCACTTTTCTCAGGTCATTCCAGTCACTTTGACGTAATCACTAAAAGCTCATTGGCACTTGGTAGTTATAGTTCACACGATTCATAAATACTACACTTCCGTACCGTCCTCTCCTTCGTCTTCGAACAGAGGTTCGTTGGGATTTACTTCTGAGGGTGGCTTTTTCTTGGGTTTAGGCGGTGGTCTTGGAGGAATCTTTCCACTCCTCCCCAAAGTTCCCGATTGGTTCAACGACACGTTGCTTTCATTCTTTTTTGTGTCATCTTTAGCCGGTGAACTTGGATCCTCTTTGCTATCTGTTCTAATGTTTTTCCTTAAGGACCCAGTTTCAGGTTTACCCTTACGACTCAAAGTGCTGCTTTCTGAAACTTGAGATTGGGCATCCGAGTTTCTGTTATCGGTATTAGTAAACAAAGCTTTTCTGGGTTCTGGCTGGGGTGTAGATGTGCTCTTTGCCGTCCAGCTCATTCGTTGACTAACAGGCTCTTGAGGACCAGGCGTAGACAACTGTGTAGATAATTGTGAACTAATACTGTTTCTGTTGGGTATGAACGCTGGTGGTACTGGTGAAGGAGCCGGTTCCAGTTCCTCAATGGGTGCGTAATATAACTGATGAACATTCGGATATACTGTAGGTGTCGCTGGTAGTGGCCTGTTTCTCATTGGGGAAAATTGTTGTTCGAGTCCTGTTTTATTCAAAGAAAGTACTGAACTGCCATCAGCTGTAGTCCTTAAGCCTAGATTATCATACAATGGTTCCTGAGCTTCAGTGCTAGGAAGGATTTGAGTACTGGCTGTGCTCGACCAGCTCGGTACTCTTGGTCTTCTTGGAATGGTCACATATCCTTGCCTTGGCGGGATATTTGGAGGTGTTATGGGTGCCGTAAATGGAGACTGCGAACGAGAATAAGGTAAAGTCCTAAATATATTTTGATTCGTTGCGCCACCATAAATAGGAGAGTGTATTGGACTGACAGGATTAATTTGCAAACGGCTTGTATCAGGCACTGTTGAAGCATTGCTTGCTGCAGGAGATATCTGAGCTGCTCTTGCTGGGAATGCGAGGAGATCTGGCGGGTATGCACGTCCATCAGTGCGTCCATATTCTACGTTAAGAGCATCTTGTGATCGTTTAATCTGTTGCTCAAAGTCCAGAGACCGTTTCTCGTCGTCGTTGTGAGCTGAAATAGAGAAGAAATATTTTGTCTATTAATGTTTATGATATTTATTAGTCGTTTAAAGTATTTTAAGGATTGTAAAGTGTTAAACTTTTAATAGTTCTTATTCAATCAAGAGAACAGATTTTTATACGAGGTAGAGCCACATTGCAAAAATATTATAGTTGTAGCACGAATGAGCTGACTGGAGTACGACCACGCTCTCACAGGATACAAGCGTGAAATAGCAGCTTTATGCTGCTGTATTTTGTATGTAGAGTGAAGAAAATCTGAGACGCTTTTTACAAGAAACGAGACATAATCCAAATTAATCCTAAGGCTGACAACGCATCTTGATTCTTTATTGGGAATAGATGTAGATATCTATGGACTTACAGCATTCACTTACCATCAGATGGCCTGTTTTTTCGTTTGTCACTAAAAATCTATGATATAAGAGATACATATCTACAACATAAATCAAAAATATTTTTTCCGTAAGAGAATTTTTTCTTTTCTTTTTGCATACATACATAAACACTCACGCCTGTCACCCAGAGGGGTAGGCAGAGACTACAGACTTCCATTTGGCACGATCCTGACACACCTCTCTTGCCTCCTTCACATCCATACACCTACGCATACATGCTCGTCGGTTAAGGGTACTCCTAATTTGGCCCGTTTTCAATAAATCACCAATTTGGTCGATAAATTTTCGCCTAGGACGTCCCTTTCCGACTCTGCCATTCACTTCTGCACCATAAATTTTCTTTGTCACTCTTTCCTCATTCATTCTTTCCACATGACCAAATCACCGAAGCATTCCTTTCTTAATCCTGGTCACAACATCATCTTGCAAACCACACTCTTCTTTTATCACACAGTTTCTTACCCTGTCACTCAGATTCAGCCCTAACATACTCCTTAACGACCGCATTTCTACTGCGTTTATTCTACTCTCGTGCTTCTTCTGCCACACCCAACTTTCACTACCATACGTTAAAGTAGGGACCAACACAGCATTGTGAATTGCCATACGTGCCTTTTTCGACACATTTTGACTCTTCACAATAGAGTGCAAGGCCCCATTTACTCTATTTCCTCTATTTTATTTTCTTTACTCTATTTTATTTTCTTTTTGTTTAAACAAAAAACATTTACATACATAAATGTCACAAGGACAAACCTCCAGACGGGAATTAATTATTTGTAGGCCTTACAAATACTCAAAACAAATAAACAAGCAAGCGGGATTTAGAAAGGGAATGGGATGTACAGATTAAGTCTTTTCCATGAACATGAACGCGGAGAAGTTTCTGGCCAAAAACCAGAAGGTTTTTTGTGCGTTCATGGACTTGGAAAAGGCCTATGACAGAGTGGATAGGGATTTGCTATGGCAAACACTGAACTCATTTGGGTTGAGCGCTGGCTTGATACAGGCATTGGAGTCTCTTTATAGGGACTCTAGTCCTTGTGTTAGGATCAACGGGGTCTACTCGGACTGGTTTGACATCCATAAAGGTGTCAGACAGGGCTGTGTGGCTTCCCCGTGGCTGTTCAATCTATTTATGGACAGTTGTTTGCAATTTGAAAGTTGAAGAATGCGGATTAAGAATGGGTGAGTTAACCGTCAAATGCCTTTTGTACGCCGATGATCAAGTTATTCTGCGTCGTCGGCGGCCGAGTTGCAAATGACGGTTACATTAATGAACGGATCATTAAAAGAAAGGGGTATGAAAGTAAACGCAAGTAAGACGAAGGTTATGGTTTTTGAAAGAGAAGAAAGTAAAACGATTTGTGAAATAAGAATAGAAGGTGAATTGATCGAGCAAGTAGATGAGTTTGTATATTTAGGCTGCGTATTTAGCAGGGATATGAGATATGATAAGGATATAGAACGACGAGTGAATGCGGGAAATAGAGTAAATGGGGCCTTGCACTCTATTGTGAAGAGTCAAAATGTGTCGAAAAAGGCACGTATGGCAATTCACAATGCTGTGTTGGTCCCTACTTTAACGTATGGTAGTGAAAGTTGGGTGTGGCAGAAGAAGCACGAGAGTAGAATAAACGCAGTAGAAATGCGGTCGTTAAGGAGTATGTTAGGGCTGAATCTGAATGACAGGGTAAGAAATTGTATAATAAGAGAAGAGTGTGGTTTGCAAGATGATGTTGTGACCAGGATTAAGAAAGGAATGCTTCAGTGGTTTGGTCATGTGGAAAGAATGAATGAGGAAAGAGTGACAAAGAAAATTTATGGTGCAGAAGTGAATGGCAGAGTCGGAAAGGGACGTCCTAGGCGAAAATTTATCGACCAAATTGGCGATTTATTGAAAACGGGCCAAATTAGGAGTACCCTTAACCGACGAGCATGTATGCGTACGTGTATGGATGTGAAGGAGGCAAGAGAGGTGTGTCAGGATCGTGCCAAATGGAAGTCTGTAGTCTCTGCTTACCCCTCTGGGTGACAGGCGTGAGTGTTTATGTATTATGTATGTATTTAAGTATTTAGCTAGTAAATGCATTTGTGTTTTGCCGACAATAGTAAGAAAAAAAATTGTAATTTCAAATAACAAAACTGTATTCTAATCAGTAACTATTGTTAACCTGCACAAATTTTGACTACATGAACAAGTACTGCTAGTTAATGATAAAGTAAGTTTTGCGGCTCGAATCGTCGACGACCGAGTGTTTTCCGATCGGCTCGATTCACTGGTACTGCGAAGAGATGTTGCATCTCTTTGCATTTTCTTTCGCATATACCATGGAGAGTGCTCTGAGGAATTGTCAGATTAATCCCAGCCGCCAAATTTCGTGAACGCACTACGCGGCAAACGTCCCGATACCACCCACACCATCTGGATGCTTGGCGGTCCACCACTGTACGTTTCAAGAGGAGTTTTCTTCCGCGTACAACCTCTCTGTGGAATAGTTTACCACCGGCGATTTTTCCGGACCGATACGACCTGGGGACCTTCAAGAAAAGAGCTTACTCTTTTCTAAAGGGCCGGCAACGCACCTGCAATTCTCCTGGTGTTGCGGTTGGTCCTGGGCGGCGGTAGTCACTTAACATCAGGTAAGCTGCATGCTCGTTTGCCCCCTCTTCTATAAAAGAAAAAAAAGTAAATTAAATCTTACCAAAAACCGAATCATTATCCAAAAGGGTTTTGTTCATTTCTGACATCTCTGTGGCGCCACTCGTTATTGAAGGGGGTATATCGTATCTTCTCGGAGGTTTAGTTACAGGGTTAACTGCTGTAATTAAACTTTTCTCCATTTCTGGTATCACTGAACCTTCTATCAGCGCTTCGCCGTTAGATGCGTCTCCTTTCTTCTTTTCTGAACTTCTTCTGCGACAACAACAATAGAGAAGAACGACAAGGAGAATTAATAAAATAGCTACTGTACATGAAACACCGATTAAAACCGGTAGCATATTAGTGTCCATTCCTGGCGGTACAACAATTCCTGGCGTGGTAGGTGCTATAGATAAAATAAGACTTTGCTCCTCAACACCACCGGGGTTTTTGGCAACACATAAATATTCACCATTATCTGTCGTTCCAGCATCGATAATAGTCAAGTTAACCCATTTGCTGTTCTCTGAATTACTTTGTGTAATGTAGTATTTGACTTCACCTTGATACCTGTATGTGCCATCGATGATTTGAGCATTCAACACCCAATTCACTTCTGGTAGAGGGTTGCCATTAACCTGGCAAGAAAGCGTTACATTTGTATCTGTTGATCTTAAAGTGGTTTTAGCTGAAGGATACACAATGCTTGGCCTGCAAGCAAAATCATTAGAATCCAACTCCTTCCAAAGTTTTCCGTGAACTTTAGCTGGTTCACTGCAAGCTATAGGTGAGGTATAGAGATTTTTACTGATGACCCAATTACGAAACGGTTGGAGATAGCAATCACATCGCCAAGGGTTATCGTGGACGTCCAAATTCGATAGCGAAGTGAGGGCACTCAATGTATCGATTTTCAAGTGCTCTAATTTGTTACCGTCGAGCCTTAAAATATTTAGTTTCGGCACATTCATGAATGTTTTCAATCCCAATTGAACTATTCGATTATTACTTAAGTCTACTTTTTGCAAAAATGGCAGATTATTGAATAGCCCATCTTCTAACTTCTCAATCTGGTTATCGTTGAGCAAAATCCATCTTATTTTCGAAGTCTCTCTAAACGTATCGGCGTGAAGCGTTTTGAGGTCGTTTTTCGATAAGTCTAATTCGATCATAATAGCGAGGCCGCTCAGTCCATTCTTGTGTATAGTAATTAACTTGCACTCTCTCAAAATAAGCTTCTTTAAGTTTATTAATCCGACGTCTCCGAAAGCGTGTCGCGTTATTTCGTAAAGTTCGTTGCCTGTTAGGTCGAGTATTTGTATTTCTGCGCTCAAAGTTTTAGGGATGTCGTGAAAATTTGATTCAGAGCAATCGGCTTGCTTGTTGCCGCTCGCCCACACACACTTGCATTCTTGGGGGCAGTTCGCGGTGAAATCAGCTGTTGCCACAGCGAACAGGAAATTCAATGCCAACAGTGTTGCTAGCTTTTTGTCTTCCATTTTCACGGTCGTGATCTGCAACAAAATGACACACACATTAATATTACAAGAACATCAATTACGGTACTTCAAACAAACAAAAATTGTAAGCATAATATTATAGCTTTAGCACGAATCGGTTCGACCGGGGAAAGATTTTCGTGTGTCAAAGACAAAATACCAGCGTAAAATTGCAACATAATACTGCTGTGTTTCTAATTGTAAGTAACGTTTTTATACAGAACTAAAGTGACAAACTAACTTATAGTCCACCTGATTCTAAATGGTTACTGCGATCTAATAACATCTTCAGCCAAATACAAATAAAGAAAGCTTCAGATAATTAATACAATCAGGCGTTACTTTGCGGAAATCTACTATATAAAAGTTAATAAGAATTACTTCGCCCACATCAGCTCAATGAAATAAAATGATGTGTCACACCTCCCGCCCTCCCTCAATTGCGTGCACTATCCTCGTCACCCCTACTCGCAACACCATTACAGTGAGAAAGACACACCACTGACGATAATATGACAGGTGTTTCGCCTACACGAGGCATCCTCAGGTGAAGTAGACTCTGCGGTGGCTGTAGGATGCGGTGCCGTGGAGGATGCTTCGAGTAGATTCGAAACACATGTCGTATTATCGTCAGTGGTGTGTCTTTTCTAGTGAAACGGGGATAGTGCACGAAATTGAGGGAACGCGGGACGATCTCGTCAAACTAGGTGAGACACATAATTTTAATTCAATGAGAAAAATGCGGAGGCGAGTTAGTTAAAAATACCAACCGTTGTATTTGTTTAGAGATCTGTATCTCGTATTACAAGATTCAAGTATAAGCAGATAACTTAAGAGCAGCTGTAGGAACTTGATGGTTTAACGAAGTGTTGCTTCATTTTATTTATCAACTTTAATCGCTGTTATAGTTATTTTACGATTTATTTAGAATATTGAATGCTAAATTTCTGTTGTATTTTTCGTATGTATAGCCGCGAGCAAAGAGATTTAAATATATATACTACTACTTAAGTGTCTTTGGCCGGGAGTATTTAAAGTGAATATATATACTGCCGTGTAGTGGCGGTGTAAGAATATACACTGCCACATATCGTCCCGTAGGCCGTGGGTGTCGTAAGAGGCGACAGAGGGAAATTGAAGCAGGTGATGAGCAGCAGCATATTCCTGATAATAATTCGAAATAATATTTTCATTTTGATTCGTAATCGAGGATAGATGTAGATGTCTATGGGCAACAGCAACCACTTACCACCAGGTGGACTGTGTGCTCGTTTGTCACGCTTCTATTTAAAAAAAAAACTGTACTGACTGTCAAAGTCAGCTCTTCGGGCGTGTCAACTATGCCAAAATCCCCCTATGATTCAATTTATGAGGGAGGCCTTTATTCAGCAGTGAATTTTTATAGGTTGTAATGGATAGATGGACGAATACACTATGGAAACATCCGTGAGACAATAACTAAATTAAGAAACAATTATGTTAATAAATGTATTGGCGGTGTGAGACAATTCATCGACCCTTCTCGTTCTTTAGGTGCCGCTGATTGGTCACTATGGAAATGTGTTAGGAAGTTCTTAAGGTCACCGAGTGATGACGGCATAACTTTCTCAAAAAATTCAATGACAAGTCTGATGCCTATTTAATGCTGCATTAATACATATACATAATACATAAACACTCACGCCTGTCACCCACAGGAGTAAACAGAGACTACAGATTTCCGTTTGGCACGATCCTGACACATCTTTCGCCTCCTCTATATCCATATACATACGCATACATGCTCGTCGGTTAAGGGTACTCTTAATTTGGCCCATTTGGTCGACAAAGTTTCGCCTAGGACGTCCCTAACCGACTCTGCCGTTTACCTCAACATAAATTAGCTTTGTCACTCTTTCCTCATTCATTCTTTCTACATGACCAAACCACCGAAGCATTCCTTTCTCAATCCTCGTCACAACATCGTCTTGTATCACTTTTCTCTTATCACACAATTTCTCACCCTGTCACTCAGATTCACCTCTAACATACTCCTTAACGACCGCATTTCAGTAGAAATAGCCTGATACACCGATCCAGAATGGATCGGTGTATCAATCTGCACGAAAACTAATAAATATAGTTCTGTCTGTCTTTAACAAGACGTGTAAAGTGTAATATTTTTGTTCATTTAAGAAAAAACAATATTAAGTTATAAAAATAAATAAGAAACCCATATATATATAGTGTTATAAATATCACTTAACTGAATGAATCAATACTTCGAAATGTTTCGAAAAGGTCAGGCTTTTATTGACCTCGCATAGTGTGGAGGGACAAATTATTTGGATTTATATGGACCTGCCCCTATTAAAAATAAACCTCATTTCATTATGACTAACACACACATAGTGTGCGTTCCGTTATATTATTATCTCAAACAATTTTACGCTCAATCTGAATAAAAAAATTGTATACAGAAACTATTGCACAAATCTACGTTTTGGAAAATTAAAAAAAGGAAAATAAATGGTAATTATTGTTATTATAATATCTAAAGAGTATTATTCCTTAGTGTGGTATATTTTCAGTATCTTTGAGAGGAGTCATTAATTATGCTGTTTTTTATACCTCTCAGTACAGACACTACTGCCGGGCAATAAAAAAGTAAGAAGGTGAAACCCAGATGAACTTTAAGACAGAAAAAATCCCATCACCTCTGAAAAATAAAACCCGTGGTTTAAATCTACATTTACAGATACATAATTTAAAAATATGTTAACATGACAATGTTAAGATCCATAAGTCGTATCCAAACGTTTCCAGCACGCTCCCATAGTTGTTGCGGAGAAGTTAAATGAATCAATTCACACTGATTGCTTCACGCTCGCTTATAAATTGCTTTATTACAAAACTTATTTTCTTGAGCATTTATTGACTTATAGCTCTCCCTATATACAGAACAGCATGAATTAATTCAAAAACTTCTCAAATTAAACTAGGTATTTAATTATTTTGTGGTACTTTATTCCGTGTTTTTTTATTTTATTAATGCGATAGAGGTCTTATAATGATGATGACGATAATGTGATAAGAGTCACGCTGCAGCTCACAGAATACCAGCGTAAAATAGCAGCTTAAAACTGCGTGTTTTACATGGTGATGGTAAAGAACCGAAGACCCTTTTTAGACATACGAGGTATTCTATGTTATTTTTCAGAGGTGACAAGACATCTACACTTGGATTTTTAAACGAAGGTGGATGTAAATGTCTACGGACACAGCGTCCACTCATCATGAGCAATCTGTGAGCTCGTTTGTCACTCTTATACTATAAAAAATATTTGGGATAACAAACATTCAGGGCGCCCATCTTAAACCATTAATTCAAGATGTATGCAAATTATATAACACCGTGTAGTGACGGCGTAAGAAAGAACCCCCATCTCATCATCTAATGGGTGTCTTAAGAGGTGACGAAGAGAAATGAAACAGATGGCCGACAGAGTTCTTTATTATTTTGAATTATAATCAGGATCTCTCTTTAGTCGGTCCCTCATGACTGAGGATCGTGATCACCATCACGGAGAGTAAGCTTATTGTGTATGATCTGTCTCCACCGGGTCCTATCGCTGGCCATACGGAGAGCGTCGTAGAAATTTAGCGCACCGACTTCTTTGACTTGGTCAGACCACCGAGTTGGAGATCAACCTCTGGGCCTTCTTCCCTCTACGTTTCCAACAACTATCAATTTCTCAATACTTTTGTCCCGTCGAGATATGACCAAAATAGCTGAGTATGCACTGAAGACATGTGATAGGACAGGTGATAGGATTGACACGTTTGTGCGCTTCGCAGTCCACGGTATTCGCAGCATTCGCCTCCAGCACCACATTTCGAACGCATCAATTCTCTCCCTTTCTCTGACGCGTATAGTCCATGTTTCCATTCCATAGAGAAAAATTGGAAGTATAAGAGTATATAATAGGCGTAATTTAGTATTATTTGTTATGCAACTGTTCCTCCAGATGTTTGTCAGCCTGGTCATCGCATCCTTAGCTATTGCTATTCTACGTTTATTTTCGGGACGCAAGTGCCCTCATAATCATGATAACAACTCAATAAAATAAAAAACTGCGGTTACCATCATTGGCCAAGATCGGTCAAGGAGACAGGCTATGAAATATTCAATCCTTATCTTGACGGTCATAAATGTATACATAAACCTATACATAATGCAAGCCAAGCGTACCAACTGAAGAAGAAAATTTAGTACAAGGATTAATAGAGACTAATAAGGTTAATTAGGTTTGTTAATAATTAACATCGTTTGTGGAGGTTCGTTCTTGTGTCAAAGGGATTATCTGCCGCTAAACGTAGATAAGGTTTCAACCTAGTTCCGAAATTAATGTGGCGATTTGTGTAAGTTAACCATCCTTTACTGGAACAACGATTGAAAATTTTGAGCATAGTCCTACTCTAAAGAACAAAAAGTTAAATAAATGTTAAAAGTCAACTTGAAACAAGTAAAGAAATAATTACACATTCTGAAGTCGGTGTTAAGACATATTTATTATACATAGCCCCGAATTCATAATGTGAAGATATATTTTTTTAATTGTTTGAAGGCGACTATTACTATAGAGTAGAATAGAATAGAATAATTTAATATAGATTATACTTTTTGAAAATAATTTTTTTTTGTTTATCACTTTCATTAGATAGAGATATTTGATTCGACTGTTTGTTTTCTTATGTGTGTTACCTCATAACTTTTCTCTCTCTCACTCTTTTTTATTTGAAAGCTCTTTCTTCTCTCTTCTTTCTTCTAGCTTCTTTCTCGTGTGGTCCCATATAATTTGATCAAAATCTGACCAGTAGTTTTTAAGTTATCATTAATAATGCGTATTTAATTGACTTCGAATACATTGATGATGTTCTTATTTTATTTATATTGAAGTCGGTTGTACAAAATTTTTAATTTTATCACTTATTTTTTACAAGTGATAAAGTAAAAAATT